AATCGAAAACGTGCAGGATTTTCTGCATATTTTTTCCTATAAAGGTCTAAACTTAACGGCTGTGTAGGATAGAGTTGTCAACCAGGTCCCAAATCCCAAAACTTTACGTCTAAATCAAGGTTATTTACAGCCATCGGCTGACGGCGATTTCTAGTGGTCAGAATATGCTAAAATTCACCTTTTCAGATATATTGAGAGGGCAAGTCCTAACATTCTTGGCAAACTAGACAGGTTTTTAAGCAGTCTGATATAAATTATGTGGCTTAACTATGCGAATCAAGTATTTTACAATGTTACAAAATATACCTATTTTTCAATTTCCGAGACGTTGCGATGGTCCCTACGGACTGGGAAATAATTATGGCCCCTAATGCAGTCAGAAATTTATTTCGAATCAAACCAAATCTAATTTAGTTCTTCCTTAGGTAAAGTCTTTCTGTTGACAGAGTTTCAGGCAAAATTATTTTTAACGCGAAATTGACCGGGTGGAAATAAGAGAGACAGCCTCTTAATTGGTGTTTCACAGCATGTTTGTGCTGTAACTCATAATTCTCCATAATTCAGGCGAGTTACTGTTTAAAGCTCGCAGCGGTTTGGTTTCGTAAGCAGCTTAAGTTTATGTGGCTTCTTTGTCACTGAGAAGTGTGTTAAAGCGTCAGGAAACACGAGGCTATCAAATAAAACCTTTTCGAGAAAACCCTTCCATGTCTCCACACGTGCAAATAATGATTTAAGTAAATATCTTTTATTTTAACGGTACAAACTTATATCTATAATACCAATGTTCTCTTATTATTGATACAATAGCTTTCTAATGTCTCACTAGCTCGTTAAGTCAGTTATTTAGCTGCAAGAGAGTTCTTAATAAACTATTATTATTATTATTATTATTAAAGTCGACTTATAGATCACAAGAGACTTTTGACAAGCTGCCTTTTAAAATTAAAATCTTACCTTTATTATGAATATTGTTTACTTCTCTTCCAAGGTTATAGATTACGTTCAAATCTACCTATGCGAGATTCCTATGTATGTTATCTCACTTATTTCAGATGCAAAATATGTCATTATACAGATACAAGAAAAATATACAGAATTCAGAAATAGGCGTCATAACGATCAAATCAAGAGTTGTTGCACTCTAAAGAAGCCCCTAAGGCTTTGTAAAGTAATTTCTACACTTGTAAACTGCGTTAATCGGAAACCAATTGAGGTTATGTTTGTCCCTCAAGTAACTGCACTGTATTCGCTGGCGCGATCTTTTTAGCAAGCTTCAAACGAATGCATTTCGTCGCCAAGTTACTCGTTCAGGTCTATCATGCATCGAAGTACCGTTTTTATAAAAGGAAATATAATCTTAATCAGACGAGAAAAAATCAGTTGTAGAATTGACCTATATCCTCATAAACGTCTTCATTTTGTTTCTCATTGCTTTCTTTTTGAATTGGCACATTGTAATAGGCAGCGGTCCCCGCTTCCTCCTCAAAGAACTTGTAATCATCAGGTATATGACACTGTTCGTTCGGAGGCGTGGGTATGAGTCCCGTATAGGAACGTGAAGCAAGTTGATCACGTCGCTGTTTATCACATGAGCGATCGAAGCCATCAAAGCCAACTTCCTTTTTAGGCTTTTCGCCTTCACTAGGAACAGCTCGTCTCCGATGCAATATCAGTCCACAAATTGTAATGAGCAACACAACCACAAGGCAAGACAATGCGATGACACAAGCAGGGAAGATGCTATAGGTACCTTGCAAAGAAAAACCAACATACTGTCAAACACTAAAACCAAAATTAATTCAAGTTCAAACTGGAATTTGAGCACTAAAAATAGATTTAAACTCAGTAAAATCTCGTATCAACTATTTTCCTTCTACGTGAATCAAGTTTCCCAGGTGAGTATTGACACCGAGTTCAACATTGAGCCTAAGCATAAAAGGTTTTCATTAGTGGTTTGGTGTTTTTGATAGGTCCATAACCTTGTTTCATGATAAGCAGAGTACCTTAGACTGGCCTTCAATTTAAGGGGATGTCTGATAATATACATGCATCATTATGGATGACTTTCATACTCACTTGGCTTTCCTTTTACTCCAAACGCCTCTGTTCTCATACACACCCTGCCCTGATGACTTTGTGGCAGGAATCGCAAATATCTTGTTAACACTCCATAAACAACATGCTTAACATTTGAGTTTCCATCATTGTTTCCTTGTAAAACCTTTAAAAATTAAGATAACCATTTCCAATCGGAAAATTCCTTGTTGACACGAAAATAGGAGACGAATAATCATAAAACTCTTTCTAGCTGGCTAAATGTAAGTAAGCCGTTTCACACTTCTTTTTGACAATTTCTCATTTTTCTTTCACATAACAAAAGGAATTCAGCTTGCCATTTAATAAAAATGGTCCATATCAGCAGGCTAATAACATTGTAATACTCCCATCTGAATGACAGCAATCTCTCACTTGCCCAAGCTTCACTGAATATTCACTAATGTTCGTTTCTAAATCATATTAAAATTCAGAGGTGGCCACTTTGAAAGATAAATTTTGGAATGGAGTTCAGCTTCTACAAACCATGCAAGCCATATACTATAATGATTTAGAACCCGCTTTCCAGCGATGAAAAAGGATTGTGAATTATTTTGTATCTCAAGCAACTCAAGTGTATTGTTATCTGTTTGTACAACGAAGTGAATTCCTGCATACTATGGAGATTTGATGCAATTAGAAAACTCATTACACGTTAACTTACAGTTTTTACTGCTAAAAACGCATCGTATACCTTTACTTTTTCGCCTTCCTTATAGTCTGTCCAATTCTCACCATCTATTGATAATTGTAGTTTGTAGTTCCTCACCCACTGATCTCCTTGAGAATTCTCTTGTGTAGACACAGCACAGATGATATGAAGTGTCTGTAGATCAATCTGTAGATATGGGTTAGTGTCATTTGTTCTTGCGCACCATAATGATCCGGGTGTGTAGTTCAGTCGATCATTCTTGGCTGGCGTGTTGGAACTTCGTCCGGAAGAAGCATTTATTTTATTGTCAGGAATTTCTCCATTTTCCAATCCAAGGTAAAACTCAACACAACCTGCGCATTTAAAAAATGTTAAAAATATCAAATACGACTTATAAACGTTACACTGTTCCCGCCAAGAGCGTAGCTCCATTGTTTTTTATACAATAAAGTTTTAGGGACGGTTATTTGCTACAGGTCTAACCTAGGGTTTCTGCATAAGAGGAATGAATAAAAGGGGTAAGCTTCTCAAGAAACTGTGGCGCTGCACCGGTGGGAGAGTATAACAGGGTAATTAAGTATTATCAACTGAGTTGATACCTTAAATTGGCCACCGCAAAGAGTTTCAAAGCTGACGTTTCGAGCGTTTGCCTTTGTCAGAGCAAATTTCTGTATAAGAGGGTTGATTAAATTAATAAAAGTCTTCCCACTGTTAGCTTTTGGCCCTCTTAACGCCTTTGACAAAAGTAAAGATTCAGGTAAAAGGTTCGGCTAAGTTGAGGACTGTTTGGGAAGCTTTAAAGTTCCGTAACAACGCTTTCTTATTTCTCAATCAGCTCATCAATTTTTTCACTGTTGCTAAATGCAAATGCAAAACGAATTTGGCATATTTTATCAATTCTTACCATGTCGCAAGGTTTTCACCAGTACGGGAGAACTCATCGGTCCATCGCCGGCTGAAGTAAAGGCCAACACTTGAAATTCATATTCTGTGTTGTTTTCAAGCCCAGTGACGTCTGTACTTAATATTGATCCAATATTGATGGGCAAGGTGGTTGTTGATCCTGTAGAGTATCTCTTTTTGTAGAACAATTTGAAACCTCTAATAATTCCATGTCTGGAGTCAGCTGGTGGCAACTGCCAGGATGCTTGGATAATTGTAGAACTAACTCCAGTAACAATGAAGCTGTTCGGAGCTTGTGATGGAACTGCAATTGTGAAAACGCCATACTTTATATACAACTGATCGTGTAATTGTGCTATCCTTACATAACAAGTGGAAGATTACTTCAGACTGCATGTATAGCTACTGAAAGGGCAACAACTCGCATTACCCAGTCAAGAGCACTAATTCTCACTTCAAGGTTGCTTCTGTACCACATTTTATTAATTGGTTCAGGATTAGAATTCAGCATTAAAATTCAAAATATCGCATACAAACTATTCCTCTTTTACGATTCAGTGGCCAGTAAGTAAGTAAGTTATTTCAATTTCCAACCTATGGATTGACAGATAGAGTCGATAGCTCTCTTGTAAGGAGTTCTCAGAATCAGTCGTCATTTTTTCTCGTTCACCCTGATATACCCATACCATCTTCCTTTGTTCTCTCCACCTTAACAGGGGTCTTTGGTCCATCCCCATCAGACGTAAAAGCCAAGATTTGAAATTCATATTCGGTGTACTTCTCGAGCCCGGTAAAATTCCTACTTGATGCGGATCCACTGCTAATAAGCAAGGTGGTTGGTAACCGCACTGAACCTTTCTTTTTGTAGAACAGTTTAAATCCAGTAATGTTTCTTCCATGTCTGGCAAAGACTTGTGGTAACTTCCAGGAAGCTATTATGGTGGTAGAAGAGATTGCATTCAATTTGAAGGCAGTAGGAGGTTGTGATGGAACTGAAATAAATCAAAATACACCATATATAAACTTCAATTACTTGTTGAGAAAGGAACCTGTAAATCAACCATAACTGTTAACTTAAAGCGTTCGATATCTGTCAGAGCACTGTGAAGGATGTTAGGAATGGATATAGATGGTAAGATCCTACTAAATATAAAAGGTGTTGATAAGTCGAATTCTCCAATCTTCCCCCCTACAATCATATTTAAAAAGATTCTAATTTAACCAAGGGTTGTATAATAAGGGATAACATTCAATTCCCAATTACCTCCGTAAAATTTCCGAATCTTCACTTCCGAAGATAATTGGTTATTGCATCTTCATTAGAGGAAAAAACGAGACCCACTAAATACCTTTAGTTAGAGGCATTCCAAAAGCTTCCACTCTCAGGGCTTTAAAGCCACTATATCCTGTGGGTTGAAAGCGAATAAACTTTGCACTTGCAAAGTCCTGAAGATTGTTTTTCTGAATGCCATAGTTATTTGAGTTCCCACGAAAGATCTGCATTTTGTAATACAAAAAGTAAAATTATTGCTAGGCATATATGTATTTTGTTATAAACAAAATGTATCATTCACCATTATAAGTCAGTGATAAACTATTCCCTAGAGATTGACTTTGAGCTAGTAATTAGCCAAATTGAACCTCAAACCAAAGAGATACGTGTCTCTAACGTCTAGCAAATTTGATTGAAAGAATTATTAATACTGCTAAAGAAAGATGTTTTTTCGTCTTGTCACGAGCGTGGGACAAAGAAAAATTCCGAGTGCCCATGAGGAATCGAATCTCAGACATTCGGATTCCCCGCTCCAATGCTCTACCACCGAGCCACAGAGACTCAACGGTGAGCGCGGTCTCTTAAGAAGTTTATATGACACGCGTCCTGCATACTGCTAGGATCAGCAATGTCGATAGCGTACTGATTTTAGATAGAAATAAGTTTAACAAAACTACCTCAAAAGGTGCAAGTGAACCTGTGGTAGAAGTTGAAATATTAGTTGTAGTGGTACATTAACTTAAAGGAAGTTTACTTGTGATGTGTATATGTGATGTGTTTATGGTACATAGAAGCCCCAAGATAACTGTATGTAGAATTTCCTGTGGGCCGTTTTTCAACAATTCCTAAATTTTCGAAAAATATGGGTTAATTACAAGGAGAAATTAGGTCGTGAATGATAAGAAAATATTTTGCTCTCAATCATGATGTGCTCGGTTGGTATGTTGTGACCTCGACTTAAATATTTTCCAGTCTAGCACATCTCGTCAGGGAATAATATCTATGAGCCATGTACATAGATTTATGTTTGCTGGAAGGAGCAGTGCATGTCCCAGCAACAGTTATTCCCCTCTTTTGTGTCCTTCTTCTCGGCGCATGATAATGAATGTCTGCTCTGGTTGCGAATTTCAGGCTAATTTCAATTTTTTTTGACATGCACATACCGTCGTGGGCTTCATCTAAACTTACCCTGTCTCTATTATTTTCTCTATAGGTGACAAAAGTGGTTCCATCCAAAGATAACTGAATCTTGTACCAAGTTGTCCACTCATCTATATGTTTAGCTCCTTGAGTAGCAACAGCACAGATAACATACTCATACAGGAGGTCAATTTGTAGGTAGTCATCAGGATTGGCGTTCGTCTCGGGTGCCCAACCCCGAATATCTCCATTCAGTCGACCATGAGAGGGTATGTACCTAGAGTCATAATGCGATAAGGCAGAGAAGCTCCTATCTGGAACTCCACCATAATTGGCCAGTCCAATGGCCTCAGTAACACACGCTGCAAGGTATTAAACTAAAATCAGCCTTTACATCTTATAAAAGACTAATTAAATAATAATAAAAAAACCCAATCAATCAAACGACCACTACATGGTCTGTAGAATGTCACCTCTGGTTAAATCGTCTTCCAACCCAGAAATTTTAAAGCAATTAAGTTTCATTTCAACTGACAAAATTGCAACTGGGATATAAATTAAAAGTGCTAAGACTTAAATTGAGTTCTAACAGTTACGTAACGACATTTTCGCAGCATAAATTATAGACCATGCTATCAACTTCCCCTTCTACGTAAATTAAGTTTCTTGGGTGAACATAAAGGCAATTCAACGCTGAGCATAAAAGTAACAGATTGCAGCACAGCAGGTAGGTTTAAAACAATGTGTTAAACAATAACAGAGTCTCTTAAACAGAACTACAAAGTAAGTGGCAGATCATCACAATCACGCAACATTACATAACAATTAAGTTCCCAACTCACCCGGCTTTTGGTTCACTCCAAATACCTCTGTTCTCATACACACCTCACCCCAGTGTGTTTGTGGCAAGAATCGCAGATATCTTGTTAACACTCCATAAACTACGTGCTTCATTTCTGAGTTCCTGTTATCATTTCCGCCCAGAAACTAAAAACAAACAAATATCCACATCACTAATCGTCATCACTAATTGGTAGGAATAACAATATACACAGTGTAAATATTGGCAATATTGATAATTATTAAATTTTATGTGGGGAATAGGAAACATCATTATAACTGTAAACTATTCAGTTTCACCCTTTATTGTCCACTTATGAATGAACACTATAATTTTTTTAGCAGCTATGTCTCACAATGCTTCTCCAGTACCTTAACTTGTCCACCTTCACTGTAGTCTGTCCAAGTTGTCCCATCCGTGGATAATTGTAGCGTGTAGGTTTTCACCCACTGATCTCCTTGAGAATTCCCTTGAGTAGACACAGCGCAGATGATATGAAGTGTCTGTAGATCAATCTGTAGATATGGGTTTGTGTCACTTGTTCTTGCACACCATGATGATCCTGATGCGTAGTTAAGGCGACTATTCTTGGCTGGTGTGTTTGCACTTTGCTCTGAAGAAGCAGTCATTTCATTGTCAGGAATTGTTCCACTTCCTATTCCAAGGTCCAAATCAACACATCCTCCTATAAAAACAAAAGCATATTCATTGCTATAAAAAGGGCACTAGAGTGACCATTGAATATACACTTTGGACGGCCAATTCACTTTAGGTCAGTCTGCTACTAGAAGTCGTTATTCATTTTCATCCAGGTCACGTGGGAATCTCTTTGAGATGGGATCTTTTCTCATCATGAATGATAATAATAAAAATCACATAGCTGCGCTTACCTGAGGCCAAGACAAAAATTAAAGCGAGCAAAGCGACGTGGAAATACAACTTATGCTCAAATCTGGACATGTTATTCAGTCGGCAAGTGAAATCAATCAAACTGTGTTCTGTTTATATAAGTCCGTTCGTTTTATAGAGGTGCTTAAAGCCGGGGGGATTCCCCGTTTAAGGGCGAATCACAAATCTTAGCTCACGGTCAATATGGACATCTGATTGGCCAGCTAATTACAGTGGTCTCAGTCGTTGATGCTTCATAGGAACTTCATACGACACCATAAATATTTAAAATCGTTCATCGAAAAATACAGCGATTACCAACAATGCAAGAAAAACCAAAACATAATCACATAAAGCAACATTAGTAGTTGATACCTTTTACTGAAAATACTTCAGTACTCAATGGTTCTTTTCGTCTATTTTATGGTATGTTTTCGATCTTGTACCCCAGTTATTTATTTAGGAGGTAAGAGTAATGAATTCATTTGTCCGTCATTGATATGAATAGTTAAGTGTCTCATATCTCTGTCTTTCAGGCATCGTTGCCATATTTTCCCCGTTGCTAAGTCAGCGCCAGGAAGTCTCTAAATTTGGCAAGGTTCCTGTAAAGCTTTCACGAAACAATTTTCCCTTTTATAGGAAGACTTGGTTTTATTATTCTTTCAAGCTAGAATCACGAATGCGACAGTTGATTGACCCTTTTAAGTACTTCTTGTTACCGGATGTGAGCCAAATGCGATTATGAAGAGAGTACGTCTCGACATGTACTAAACTGAATCTATGAAGTAAACATTACTCTTTGACAACAGAGTCACGGAGGCAGAATATTGAATCCGACAGCTTACCAATCTTATCTGTTCGGATACAACGGAATGGATGAAATTTCTTGTTGAATGTCTAGTCTTCAGAAACAAATTACTTGACAGTGAAATGCTATTGGATGGAGAGGAAAAAATAGTTTAAGAGAGAAATGGTGAATTTTAGGGTCAAAGATATTGCTTTGCACTTTGCCGACAGATGTTTTTTAATCAAGCATTTTTTGTTTATTTACGATAAAGCATTTTTTGTTGTTGTTTACCTAAGATATCGTGGGCTGTCAAGATTAGTTCATACACGTAAGTTAGATTAAGAAAGCGGAAGTAGGGAATCCGAGATCAGGTTGAAAGTACTGTGCTTCATTCGAAAAGTGTGTTTTCTGCCTTTGTGCAAGGACTGAAAAATATCGCGTCTTAAGCGGGATAACACCTTACAGAATTGTGGGTATATCAATATTGTACGTATTCTAGAAAGCTTTTTTGTCCGATATAACCGATATAGGAGGGTCTCAATGGGGTGATGGCTTTTACGGCTATCGGTTAAAATTTTGGCCAATTTCCGGCTAACACCTTTCCATTGTTTCCACCAGACATATTTTTTACGGTTAACTTTTTTTACGACTAACGGTTAAAATTTTTCAATTCTTAAGTCTAACGGCTAAATATTTTGGCCGTTTTACGGCTAACGGTTAACCCCATTGAGACCATCATATAGGCGATCCTCAAGTGTATTTTTTGCTTTCAGTTCACTAGCTAGCGCGTGTGCAAAAGAAAACTTGCTAAATAAACCAGTCAAAAAATTGGTAGACCCCTAGGACATGCATCATTACAAATAACTTCTATACTTACTTGACTTTTGTTCCATACTCACCCCACCCTGGCGAGTTTGTGGCAGAAATCGCAACTATCTTGTTAACACTCCGTAAACAAGCTCAACGTTAGAGTTTTCATCGTCATTTCCCTCTAAAACCTATCAATAGATGAAGATGATAATTTCTCATCTTAACATTCCCTTCTCTCCGACCTTAAACCATAGTATGAGCTCTTCCACAAGACCAAATGAAATAGTCGTCTCAAAGCCTTGTTTTTGAGTGACAATTGGATAATTTTTAAACGTGCAGATGACCGGAGACAAGGAAGACTCATTTCATATATAATATAATCGGAATTCAACTTAGTATTTTTCAAAAAAGAAGTCTACATAGATTATCAAAGTGAGTGCGTATCCTTTTTTTTTAATACAGATTTTATTAATATTGCCCGGCTTCTGCAACGCATGCGAGCCATTTCCTACGAAAAAAAGTGGAAAAGCTACTCTGCTGATCTGATCTGCTATCCACTTATCTCGGCTAATAAAATAACTTTGAAGCTGTGATCGATTGAGTCTCCCGTTGCAGCACGGCTGAGAAGGGCCTTTACGCATTGGCAGAACTTCAAGAGTCAAACAAAAATGATCCAAACTAAGAGATTTCATGATGAATGATGCTGGGTTCACTTGAAGCAAAAGAAAAAGTAACAGCGAAAAAAAAACCAAGAAATACAGTTTGTGGTTTTAAACTTCAATCATGATTTTATTTACAAAACTGATGGTTGTAGTCACGAAATGCAATCACTTTGGCCTTGTTTGACCGGCTATTTGAGCCAGAAAGATCATAAGAATCTCTTGATTCTCCTTTTTAATGTCCCCGCTCGTAATGCATGTGAAACCATTCAGTCGGTATCAAATTTAAAGTGTTGTAAGTGGGGAATAATCCAATTAGGGTGAGAAGATCTCGTTAGCGAAACGTGCAGATGCTCCATTTCACGGATTTAATTCATCCTTTTCTTGATACCCTTGCAGCAAATAAGGGTAAAAAATTAAAATAACGGCACTCACCTAAGACCTGGACAAAATGGAAGTAGGTGAAGTGACGCTGAAATATAACTTGCGAGCAAATCCTGCCATGTTATCCAATTAGCCACTAAAATGCAACGTCTGTCCGGCGTGTAGACAAGTTTGACTCATAGAGGTCGCGTTTTGACACCTCCTCGATCAAATTTTAACCTCAAATCTCATCTTAGGGATAATAGTGACGTGAGCTGCTACAAACCAAAATTCCGCTTTGTAGGAGCTATACGAGACACCGAAAATTTGAAATAGTTTTTCCGCTTCCGGTAAGTATTACCATCAACGCAAGAAAAACCACAAAATACCCATATAAGGCGACACAAGTACTTGATAATGAAAATATTTCATACTGAATAATCATTGTTGTCTACTATACGTTATAATCTCCTCTTATACCTTTCCCCCCTCAGGGGTAGCGATAGAATCGAATTTATTTGTCCAATACTAATTTAAATGTAAATCAGTGTTTCAAACTTACAACTTCTTTGCCATACTTTCTTCGTTGCTTAGCCAGAACCAGGAAGTTTTAAAAATTAGCGAGTCTTACCGTTACAGTTTTCACGAAACAATTTTCCTCCTCTTGGGGTATTTGATTTATCGCTCTATCAAGCTGAAATCATGGGTTACAAATTACTGTTTGACAACAGGGTCACGGGGAAAGAACAATCAATCCTACAACTTTCCACTCTGATCTTTTCGGATGTAACAATTTCAAGGCATCAGGAGAGAGAAACATGTTTAACAATGGAACTTAGATGCCTTTCGTTTACTTTAGTCGATCCTGAGGGATGTTTAGTCCGGTATGACCTTTGAACATGTTTAATTTTCACCATAAGGAAAAGATGCTTTCGACAAGAAAAAAGATAGAAAAGATTTTGAAGAGCGCGTGATCAATGGGGTCCGAAACCGTCTCACTAAGTTTATTTGACGTCGTTTTCACAAATCTTATTGAAGTAGATGTTACGCTCAAGATTCAAGTTAACATTGTGTGACACCTTGCATGATGCAACAGCTATATTGCATTTATCTGATGGTATAAAGATGGAATTTAAAACCCTATTTCACTGTTGAACGCACACTTTTAAGCTGCCTCGACCATCTGTCCACTGTGATCGGTTCTTTTACTCAGTGGACGAAGGAGGAGATGCTCATTAGAAAGGAGAGCTTGAAACTCAGAAGCACAAGGAACAAGGGTTTATCACAATGGGGAAAACGACACTATCCGATTTATAACTATTGCTTAATCAACAAACACTATTCATCCCAATATGATCATAACTCAAAAATATTTATCAAAAATAATCTATGATCATCTACCTTATTTGCTGCAAGGGTATCAAGAAAAGGATGATAAGGCTTCAAAAATTTTCTTGTTAATACTCTACGACCAACAAATATTCAAACTAAATATTCAGTCTGAGGCCAAGTGTAAATCGAGTTCTCCCTCTAGCGAGCGTAAACAGTAGCCCTCTCAACTAATATCTATATTTAACTAAGGACTAAAAAAGATTAAAGTATTTTAATATTTTTTTTAGAGAATTGGTGGCTTTACCAAAGCTTGTATTCATTTTTGACTTGGCAATCATTTGACAGAAATAAGTACGTCCCTAGCGGATTTATCATTCGACTGATAAGAGTGTGGAAGTATGTAGAAGTATAAAACCAAATCAACATCCAGTATCTCCTATTTCTTTTCCTTGACTTTCTTTCGCAAAGCCAATATTCTGGTGGCCGAATGCTTTATTTTCAAACTGCAAAGCTTGAGGATCAGGAAATGCAGGCGATTGGCCTTCTGAAGACATGGGCTTGAGTTGAAGACACGATTTTGGAGAAGCCGTAAGCTCATCAAACGAAGAGACGGGTGGACCGATGTCGTCAAAGATAGTACTGTCTGCCTTCTTCTTTGCGTCATTTAATCTGAGCTTAGCTTTTCTTAACTTACATCCCATTCCACAAATTATCGCCAATAACACGAAAACCACACAGGAAAAGGCGATGACAACGATGAGAAAGATGCTTTGGTTTTCTAATTCAGAGAATAAAAGGGGAAACTATTACTTTCAAGTTCGAACAAACCACAGCGGAAATAAAACGTTTCAGGCGATGAAACAAGTTTGATTGCCTGTTTGATATTGTGGTAAAAAAAATAAAGAAAACTGAGTGACAGGTAGAAAATACATAATCAGTAAGGATAAGAAATAATAAGGGATAGGACGGTTTTGAAATAGTTTGTCGTTTAAAACTAACGCGCCAAATGGGTTGGGTAACAAGGGAATGATTTGCAATGAGCTAGCAGTTCATCAGGGCAAAGAACCAATAGTTTAAGATCACATGACGCCATGTTGGCTATTTAGCGTACCAATGTTCTCAACAGGTGAATATTTCATTATATTAGGTACCAAAAAATTATATTAATTTTAAAACTTACCAGTCACTACCAAAGTTGTTGCTGAATGGCTCGCTCCAAACATGTTCGATGCTGTACATTCATAAAGACCGCTATCACGAGTTATCACGTCTCTGATAACAAGAATGTGGCCATCATTGTTAAACGTTGCTCGCGATATACTGGTGTCTCCGTCTTTACTCCAAGTAACAGAAGGTTTTGGATCTCCATGGGCCTCACATGTCAACTCTGCCAATTCGCCAACTATTATTGTTGTCCTTTCTGGTAGTTCCTTGACCACTGGTTTATCTGTCATGAACATATTGTAACGTGTCCTGGTTTCAATTAAAAACACTTAAACCAAGCAATGCTTTAACTCCGAGGAAAACTCTTTAGGGTTCCACAAGAAAAGTATTCTCAGAATGTGCGCACACTTTTCGTATAGTACTTGCTCAGAGAGTGCGGAAAGTAATTCGTCAATTCTACCTGGTTGATCTATACCTATATAATAAAAAAAATAAATGGTGAAAGTCACCTAACCAATTTAATAAATAAACTTACAAAAATCGCACAGTACCTTTGGTTTTCAGCACTATGAAGCTACTCGAGGTGTACAGTGTCTGCGAAGACAGTACATAGAAACATTGTGAGTGTTCATACAACCAGCTCAAATGAATTATGAACGATTGCTATTCTAAGAAAGATCCAGCGAATGAACTTTGATGACTAAGATGAAAATTTATAGAGAAAGCAACCCACGCGCTGTAACAGTTCATGTCGTGCTTTGCCTTAGAAGTGCCTCTCTATACAATCTACATCATAAAGTGGAGATTTCTGTGTAAACTTAGTAACTCACACGACGTTTGGAAATTCGGAGCCGTGAATAAAACGGTATTTGGAGTAAGACGATTGTAACATGAGTGCAAATCTTAAAGGAGGGTGACTAAATAAGTACTTTAAAACCAGATTTAGCGTGAACGTGACGAGTAGGCCACTAGTCTTTTGTGTTATGGTGTTAAATAAAAAATACCTCTGAGACAAAAGCTCTGAGAAACACTCTGTAGTTCGTATTCGGGTGCAATGGTTTGTTGTAATAATACTCTTCGCCATTACTTCTCTTGCTTCTTATTTTATTGCTTGATTGGACTCCATCTCCTACAGTAAATTCTTGGTGTTTGTAAAAATCATTTCCTCCAAACTGGAAAGTGACATAAGCTGCAGGCAGTAGAGATTTGTGAGCTTCTTCATAAGTCATCAGCTCTTGTGTTGAAAAATCTGATGGTGGGTTTACGACACCATCGTAGTTTGACCAATATGTTATGACGATGACTTGAAAAAATCTGCAAGATCAAGATTTTTTTCAAATAACAATGTAACGCTGATCACCAGTGCCAGTAAAATAGAAATCCAAGTTTGCAATGGATTTGCCTCACTTCCCTTCGTGATTGATCAAGACCAGAGCCATGTTAGTAACCAATCAGCTGCGATACTGAAACCAATCGCTACCTGGTCGCTGGTGTTTTCCCGCCTTTTTAAGCGGGTGATTTGAGTTCTAATAAGCTCAGTTTTTTTTTCACTTTTTCTCTGATCGGTCGTTGTTTTTTATTGCACCAGTCGCTGTTATCAAAATACTCAATCGAAATACTCTCTATGCGTTTATATGTAGCCTGACTAGAAAGCAATAACTCATCATGTCTATGAATATCAAAAACATGCTTTCGTTGAAAATCGGAAGTTGCAGAATTGAGGCCAAAAGTCTTCAATTTTTTAAAAGGCACAGATGGAGAAAAGCTACGGAAGGATATAAGGAGGTTAATAGGAAGATTTTTAGAGAGAGCATATAAGCAGTGTTACTTATATCACGTGAACTACCATAACAGCGGCCAACCAAAAATCTTCGATAATTTACATTGGGTTCGTTCTTCTTAAAGATTTATTTTTCTTTTATGCGTTGGGGTTTATCGACTGACCTTACTAGAGCTTTGTTACAGTTTCGTACCAGCCTTAAAAAAGTTTACCTGGTGTGAAGAGATTATTTTAGACTTCGTGCATTTGTTGAAAGAGAGAACTAAAACTTGCCACAACGTACTTTGCACTTCCTGGGAAATTTGGGAGTGTAATTTTTGCTTTGATTCCTCCGTCACTAAAATTCGAAGAAAATGCTGGCGGAGAGGGCTTCTCAAGAGACCAAATTGTACCTGTGAAAGGAAACTCAATGTTCATTGGAGAGGAAATTTACGTGAAAATAACTACTTGAACAAATTTACCTCTTATTTAGGAAGTGATCCTAGCCTCCTAATGATTTTCATCACAATAAAAAAATGGACTCCCTTCCTCCATTTCCATCCCTTACTAACAAGTTATACATGACATTAATAACGTCGGATTTCAAATGTATTCAGTAAGAAGCAATAATGTCTTCAAGCAGTAGATAGAATTTAGCAGTAGCAGTAGCTCTCACTAAATACAGAAAGACTGAAACTAATGTCTCTTCTTATTTCAACATTGAATTCAAATGTGGAGCATTTCTTCCACCTTTTACTCTTCGATGTAGTATCCAACAACGTCTGCCGAGGGAAAGAGTTCAGTTAAGGCTCCTATGTGTACTACAAAGCAGGTATATCGAGACTTGCAACAAAATCTTTGATAATATTGTTTTTGGGTTGTAAACCAACATGGTTGAAGTCAACATGTCTCGCATCTTTGACTCACCCAACGTCTGGATCGCTAAAGACTGGCTGTAGGGTCCAGGCCCAGCCTCAGTGAAGGCTCTAACTGACACTTTATATCTTGTGCACATTGAGAGACTGGACAACAGTATCTCTGTTTTGGATGTGTTGAAGGTTGAATTAAATGAAGTGTGAAACGAAGTGCAACTTTCTTTTAAGTCAAGTCTCACTTGATACATTTTGACGAACCCATTGGCGACCTGTCTTGTCAGACTATTCCAGGTTATCTGATATTTTGTGTAATCAACTTCGATAGACGATACATTTTCTGGTCCATGACTAGGCTCTAAAAGAGAGATAAGAAAGACCCATATGCAATAAACTTACAGATTAAAAACGGAATGAAAAACGACAACAGTGAGTTATAGTATTCAAGTAGTGCACAAACGGAAGTTTTATTTGTCCTACATTCCTTACATTAAGCTAAAACTATTTACTTATTCTTTTTCACCGTAATACTTTGTCACCAATCAATTCACGTACATGAGTCATGGGCATTATCAAGTTAAATTTTCTACACTTTTGTACTTAGTTACGATGGCATAACATACCGTACTCATTGGTTTTCACAGACAATGACGCATTCTGTCCAGGTTTGACAGTTACAGCTCCGATATAGAAATGATAAGTAACTCCACCCAGGACATCTACCAAGTAACTGAACGTGTCTCCTCCAACGCTTTGCTTCGTCTCACCTTCTTGGTTTGCATAAAACACAATGTAATTCCTGATGATTCCATTAGATTCCGCAGGTCTGCTCCAAGTCAAGTTTATTCTTGGACCATGAAAATTATTCGGGGCTAGTTCCTTATAGGAAAACGATAGAGGAGAGCTCGGTGCTAATACGAAAAATAAGAATTGATAAGTAATACAAATTTTAATAACATGCACCATAGGCATCCCCTTTAAGTTCCTTTAACTATGACAAAAAAGATATTCAAAATTTGGAACCTCAGAAATCTGACACACACAAGACCAAACAAAGCAATATTTCCCGGTTTTTTTTTTCGTTTCAAATGACTTTCCTTTCGTAAATTGTCAGACCAAATAACCCAAAACATGAAAATGGCAAAGGTCTCTTATCGATCCCATCTGCAATTTGCACATCCATATTATGAGACATTTCCTACATAAGATTAACAGGAATAAGGCTTTTTTTTGTTGGCGGAAGAATCGTCAAAAAAACGAAACCCTTTTGACTCTAAAAGTCAAAAGAGCACGAGAGAGTGATCTGTTCCACTCCCTCCTCCCAAAAAAAAAATAATTCAGAAGAAATTCGTTTTCAAAGACTCTTCGCCTGAATTCAGCATTTAAATTCAATCTGTATGTGGCCTCTTACCATCTTCCTTTGTTCTCTCGATCTTAACAACGCTCTTTGGTCCATCACCAACAGAAGTAAAGGCCGAGACTTGAAATTCATATTCTGTGTACTTAAAAAGCCCATTGACAACTTTACTTAATGTTACTTCACTGTTAATAGTTACGATGGTTGTGGTTCCTTCAGAGCTTCTCTCCCTGTAATACAACTTAAATCCTTTGATAATTCCATGTCTTTCTTTTTTAGGTGGAGGCTGCCAGGATATTGTAATACTGGTAGGAGAATTTGAGGTCACAGATAAGTTAGCCGGAGCTTTGGAAGGAACTGCAATTTAATTTAAAAAAAGGAAAAAATTATAAAACAATTAGTTACGCAAGACATTCCCTTGAGTGAAAATTATAATTTGTCAGCTATCCTTAGGACACTTTATCTTCGGTGATAATCAAAGAAATCAGCATTCTACCTTTCTTGTCCTAGAAAATGAATTTATAAGCGCGTTTAGATGTAAAAGGTGAAATAGTTCGACATAATTTAAAAAAGAAAAAATTAGAGAAGGTCAAAAATCCTTACTTATTTGTGTAACCTTGACGGCCGATTGCATAAATGATACATATTGCTATTTTCTGAGAGAAAATATTTTTTCATCTCATCACGAGCGTAGGAAAAAGAAATAACTTTTAATCTCCATAAGGAATCGAACATTAGAGCTTCGGATTCCCCGCCCAACGTTCTAGCACGAAGAGCTACGCCATGACCGTGGCCAAGGATCCTGTGTGATACTCTTTCAGCACACTGTGCATGACATGATGAAAAATCATCTCTCCTCATTACATTACCGAGCTTAAAATTCACCTTCTTTTTTACTCCTATTTACTGTTCCTAAATGATATATAATTTTCTAACCATCTTCCTTTGTTCTCTCCACATGAAGGGAACTCTTTGGTCCATCACCAACAGAAGTGAAGGCCAACGCTTGAAATTCATATTCTGTGTATTTATCAAGCCCAGTGATATCCTCAGTATGGATTGATGCATTATAAATAATTCTCATGGTTACTGAAGAAGCAGAATCCTTCTTCTTGTACAACAATTTATGTCCTGTTATGATTCCATTTCTGAATTTTGCTAGTGGTAACTGCCAGGATGCTTTAACACTGGTAGAGGAGCTTGCAGTCACAGAAAAATTACGTGGAGGTTTTGAAGGCACTAAAAAAAATGAAACATGAACGCCCAGAAAAGATTATTAACAGTAAATAAAATTATAAGTAAAACAAACGAGGAAAGGACAAAGGAAGAGTACGCGATCTAAATAAGTAATATAAAAACATTTTTAGCACGTCAATTGGTTACTTCGTTAATTTCACGACCGATCATCGTCAAACGACAAACACAAACGAACTTCAACGTTTTAGTTTTTAATACAAAAGCGCTAAAGGCTACACGGAAACAAATAGGAGATTTATTTTATAACATCAGTTCATAGAAATTCTTTGTACACTTTCCAGCTGTACCTTATGGAATGACGACAAAATTGCATAGCAGTTTGACATCATTCTTATATACCAGGTTCAAAAACAACCACGAAGTTATTTTATGAATACAAGGAAGCCTTCATATGACAACTTCTTACCATCTTCTTTTGTTCTAATAATCTCCACGGAGCTGTTTGGTCCATCACCAACAAAGGTGAAGGCCAACACTTGAAATTCATATTCTGTGTACTTATCAAGTCCTGTAACATCTTTAGCATTGATTGTTCCATTGTTGGTAATTATGATGGTTGCTGGTGCTCTAGAGCTTTTTCTTATGTAAAACAATTTAAATCCTTTGATGATTCCATTTCTGAGGTCTACTGGTGGTAACTTCCATGATGCCATTATACTGGTGGAGGAGCTTGCAGTCAAGGTGAAGTTCCCGGGAGATCCCGTAGGAACTGCAATAAGGGAAAGGAAAATTATTCAATATATCATTAACATCCTTTCTCGATAGGCTTGCGTCATAGAACTAAGTAAAGAAATGTGCTTCCGTTTATTTGACATCTATCACTCATATCGCTCTCCAACCTTCATTTTCAAGCATCAGACCTTACAGTTTAGGTCCTAGGTTATTATTCTCACCATCTTCCCTTGTTCTTTCAACTTCTACCGAACTTTTAGGTCCATCACCGACAGATGTGAAGGCTAACACTTGAAATTCATATTCTGTGTCCTCGTCGAGTTTAGCGACAACTTTGGTATTAGTTGTTCTGTTATGAATGGTAAAGCTAGTCGGTTCCAAGGTGGTGTTTCTCTTTTTGCAAAATAATTTAAATCCTGTAATGATTCCATTTCTGGAATCAACTGGTGGTAACTGCCAGCGCGCTGTGATACTGGTAGAAGAGTTTGCAGACAAAGTAAAGTTAATTGGAGCGCTCGAGGGAACTGCAATTTGAAAAGGAGAAGTTACATAACTTCTTCAGTGACTAGGCTTATGTGTGAAGTGATTAAAAAAAAGGACCACCTTTAACTCTATTGAATAAATCAACAGTTATCTGTAAGGAATTAAGATAAACGATGTTTGTAACTCGATATGTTTGTTCTACAATAGCTGCTTAATGATAAAGCATGACCATAAGCTGACGTCTCATCATAAATACAGGTGACAGATTGAGGGCATTCTCTTTGGATAGACTGCAGGAACAATTTTTTCAATGAAACATAAGAATAGGCATTGTTTTAGTCAGGTCACAATGTATACAAAATGGTTACTATATTTAGAAATCTAAGAAAAATTGGCACTCACCATCTTCCGCTGTCTTTGCCAATTCAAGAGAGCTTTTTGGTCCGTCACCAACTGAAGTGAAGGCCAACACTTGAAATTCATATTCTGTGAACTCATCAAGCTCAGTGACATTCTCAGCGTGGATCTTCCCATTGTTAAGAATTATTATTGTTGGTGAAGCTACAGAATCCTTTCTTTTGTAAAATAATTTAAATCCTGCGATGATCCCGTTTCTGGAGTCTGCTGGTGGTAGTTGCCAATAAGCTGTAATACTTGTAGACCTACATTCAGTCACGGTAAAATTTTCTGGAGCTTTGGAAGGAACTAAGAATTCCACAAGGAAAAAAAATTAATCGCAACTGGAAAACATCTTTACAGATTAGTGTTGACTCAATGTCATCAAACCAAATATATATTATGTACAAAGAACAAATCGTCTACGAAACAAAAAACTCCTAATTCTTTACAATGTAGGAAGCGTTTTGCGCTATGAAATAAAACCAATCAAATTAAATTATGTAGAGCCAACAAATTTTTAATAATTTATCTAATGCTAATAATTTTCCACATTTCAAGGATTAGGTATTTCATCAGTGTCCTGTTATCATACTTTGGAGTCGATAGAAACATTTAGCTCGCTCACACCACTCCTCTTACCCTCTTCCGCTGTCCTTTTCACCTCCAGAGAACTGTTCAGTCCATCACCAACAGATGTGAACGCCAATATTTGGAATTCATATTCTGTGTACACATTTAGCCCAGTGACCATTGCATAGCGACTTGTGCTATTCCTAATAGTTAAAGTAATTGGTGGATCTATGGAGCCTTTCTTTTTGTAGAACAATTTGAATCCTCTGATGATTCCATTCCTGGCGTGAACTGGTGGTAGTTGCCAAGATGCAGTTATACTAATGGATGAGCGCACTACTAAAGTGAAGTTATCCGGAGACCTTGAAGGAACTGCAACGAGAGACAAATAAAGTCTTCAGACTATTTGCACAACAGAAAACATGGATGACACATGGCGTTCGATACAATAACTGCACAACTATTAACAACACGAATCTATGAGTTACAAGAATTGTGCACTGAGCAATCTTGGTTCATTCATGAGATCTCCGGCGCGTTTTGGAAAACAAAGTTTGTTACATGATCTGAATTTATTTTAAAGAGTACCAACAACAACCAGATCCACTCGAGGTGCATTTTGCTACAGATTAAATCTAGAAATATCTCATGTGACGATTTACTAATATCATTAGATTTGAACTTCGTAACGTACGGGTGCAGTGTAAATTAGAATAATGTCCAGCTCCTTATGGGCCCTATCACGTAAAAAGAGCTGGTGTGGACATAGCTCAAGACCATTGTTGTCAGGGCATAGCAATGAGTCCCTTTAAGCCACATTTTGTTAGGCTTCCATAAAAACTGTATAAACCACATTTTTTAAATCTAATATACGCACCATAATTTAAAGGTTACTGTTTCAGTCCATTGTATGGCAAGCATGGTAGAAAAAAAAGAGGAGTTAAAATTGCTGAATGTGTGAGAAATATAACTCAACCTTTCTTTCTACTTCTGGATTGAATTGGATTAAATTGCACCCTGCACGCACAGAAATTCAGTAAACACCAATTTCTCCCTGTTCTAAATTATTTGTTTTCAACTTCCGATAACTCAGACATTGAAGATTCGTCTTTTCAGGAGGGGAATGTATTCCTCAGGAAGTCAAGGGACAATAGCCCAAATGTGAAAGCAAAATTTTCTTTGTTTCTCTAATGAATTCCTACCGTCTTCATTTGTTCTCACAACAACGACAGAGCTTTTTGGTCCATCCCCAGCAGAAGTAAACGCCAACACTTGAAATTCATATTCTGTGTACTTTTTGAGCCCACTGATGTCTTTTGTCTCAACTGTTCCATTTGTGATATTCAGAATAACTTGTGTTGCCAGAGAAACTTTCTCTTTGTACGATAATTTAAACCCTATTAAAACTCCATGCCTGGATTCAACAGATGGCAACTGCCAGGATGCTGTAACACTCGTGGAAGAGCTTGGGGTCAAGCTTAAGTTCCTTGGAGGTTGGGACGGAGCTGTAATACAAAACCTAACTCATCAATCACGTTCTTTCTACAAATATGAGATATTTTCTGGAATATAACGCCTATTAAACAAATATCATATTGAACAGTTTTCCGGTTAGCTGCGGGTTCATAAAGAACTTTTACTACGCAAACCTCGTTGGTTAAAACAACATTTCTTGATTATTAAAAACAATAATGATTACAACGCAACGTAACTACTAGGCTCCAAGACTTTACATAGAGTATGTTAGATGATGATTAATCAATTCCGATGAATATTTAAAATTTATTACATATGAATGTTATAAACCAATAAACAAGAGAAATAGAGATACCATCTTCCGTTGTTCTCTCCACAACAACAGAACTCCTTGGTCCGTCACCAACAGAAGTGAAGGCCAACACTTGGAATTCGTACCAAGAGTATTTATGAAGCCCAGTCACATGCTTAAAACGAATTTGTCCATTGCTTAAAGCTAAAGCTGCCAGTAATCCTGCAGAGCCTTGCTTTTTGAAGAACAATTTAAATCCTGTGATGATTCCATTTCTGGAGTCTGCTGGTGGTAACTGCCAGTATGCTGTGATACTGGTAGAATTACTGGCCTTCAAAGAGAAGTTACGCGGAGCTCTCGAAGGCACTGTAATAAAATAGCAAATGTGCTATGTAATTCAATTAAATTCAGCTTCTCCATGTAATATCCTCATTACTGATGACCCATCCTAATTCAAAGTAACTAAGAAGCACGTCAGGTTTCTAATTAGCTCCAACGCTGAGCATGAGCATTGCTGATAACGTCAGTAAGGTAACTGTGGTAATTAAAATGACTTTTTAGTTTCGCCTCATTTAAAATACTATTACACAACCTATGATAGCAGATCTTTCTCTGTGGCTAATAATAAAAATTTGTTACCGTCTGCCTTTGTTCTTGCGACTTCGGTAGAACTCTTTGGTCCATCGCCAACAGAAGTGAAGGCCAACACCTGAAATTCATATTCTGTGTATTTGTCTAATCCAATGACATCTTTAGTGCGAATCGTCTGATTTCTAATAGTTAAAGTAATTGGGAACCCGATGGAGCCTCTCTTTTTGTAGTACAATTTAAATCCCCGGACAATTCCATTTCTGGCGTCCTCTGGTGGTAACTGCCAGGATGTAGTAATATTGGTAGAAGAGCTAGCAGTCACAGTGAAATTGCTCGGAGCTTTCGATGGAACTGTCATTGAAAAATTAAATTAAATAGTATTAGCATTCATTCCTTACATTCCAATAAATCGCCGATACCCAAATTATAGACGGATCCAAACATAAAGGACACAAGATCTAAATGTCTTGATCGACAACAAATCACAATAACCAGTCCGGCTTCCGGCTGAAACTCTCAATCCTCGGTCCACTATGATAACCATTCGTCCACAGTGACGGTCTCAATAGTTTCTTTATTTATCTATCTTTCAAAAGAAAGCTCCGTAATAAGAAGGAAGCTGAACCTTGATATAAGTATGAGGCGATATAGTTTCCCTTTAGTCCTTACCATCTTCTCTTGTTCGTTCAATCTTAACAGAACTGTTTGGGCCGTCGCCAACAGAAGTGAAGACCAAAATTTGAAATTCATATTCTGTGTACTTAGCAAGCACTGTAACATCTTTAGTGCTGGCTGTTCCGTTGTTGATAATTACCATGGTTGCTGCTTCCCCAGGGCTTTTTCTTTTGTAAAACAATTTGAATCCTACCATGATTCCATTTCTGGAGTCTGCTGGTGGTAACTGCCAAGATGCCGTGATACTGGTAGAAGAGCTTGCTGTCACCGTGAAGTTAGTGGGAGACCCCGAAGGAACTGCAATAGGGAAACGAAAAAGTCTTCATTATGTCATGACCATTGTTTTCAACAGACCTGCAATGCAGGACTGCATAAAAAAAAGCCTGAGTGATGATCCTGTTGCTGGAGTCTTCTGGTGAGTTTAATGCCAAGAATCTTAAAGACTGGTAGAACTCAAAACTTTTGCGGAGCTATGGAAAAAAATTAAAGCTTCAACGAGCAGACATTAATTCACAACAGGCATGACTTTTGATGGGGGGTACTTTAATTTCCTCAAACTAAATAGATACCACAAACTGTGATGGCTATACCATATCGGAATTTTTTTGGGCACCATTTAGGAAAATTATATAAACTCAAATTACGAAGAGCCACAAAATGAAAAAAATTGAATATTTCTCTGCTGCTCGCAATATCAATTTTTTTCATAGGAATGGACATTTACATTTTTGGACAAAATTTTTGGACAACGTTTACTCCTCTTACCATCTTCTAGAGTCCTTTTCACTTGTACAGAACTGTTCGGTCCATCACCAACAGATGTGAACGCCAAAATTTGAAATTTATATTCTGTGTACTCATCCAGCCCTGTGAATCTTTGATGGCGACTTGTTCTATTGTTTATAGTTAAAACAATTGGTGGATCTATAAGTTCTTTCTTTTTAAAGAAAAGTTTGAATCCTGTGATGATTCCATTCATAGCGTCACTGGGCGGTAACTGCCAAGAGGCTGTAATACTAGTGGAAGAGCTCACTACTACAGTGAAGTTATCCGGGGATTCTGAAGGAACTGGAACAAGAGACAGTTTAATTCATCAATATATCATGAAATCAGTGCTTTAATATCAGCACGACTGCATGAGTCGAAAGAAATTTACCCTAAGAAATCACAGCTCATTCAAGGGATCTCTCAAAACATTGCGAACCCGTCTATGGTTAAAGTCAATTTTAAATACAATCTATAACATAAATGGACTAAGATGTGAACGTAAAATTGCTAGGTCTCTCAATGACTTCTTACCATCTTCCTTTGTTCTCCTATCAAGAACAGGGCTTTTTGGCCCATCACCAACAGAAGTGAAGGCCAACACTTGAAATTCATATTCTGTGTATTTATCGAGCCCAGTGATCTCTTTGCTCTCGACGGATCCATTTGTGATATTCAGAATGTTTGGTGTTGCAACAGAATCTTTCTTTTTGTAGGATAATTTAAATCCAATAATGACTCCATGTCTGGATTCAACAGATGGTAACTGCCAGGATGCTGTAACACTAGTGGACGAGTTTGCGGTCACGCTGAAATTTCTTGGAGGTTGCGATGGAACTAAAAATCAAATGACTACCAATTAATAGCTTCATTTCAATGTTGTATGAGATGTTTCTTAAAAAAAGTCACATTTTAGGATTTTTCTAACTTGTTTTGCGTCCATAAAGTTAGTTAACTATGTACTATAACTACTGAGGTTCAAGCTTCAAGGTTATGTGAAATACGTCAGATATTTCTTATCAGTGACAACCCTTTGAAGTGTTTCAAACAATAAACTGAAGGAATAAAGATACCATCTTCCATTGTTGACTCGACAACGACAGCACTCCTCGGTCCATCACCAATAGTAGTGAAGGCCAAGACTTGACATTCATACTCCGAGTATTTATCAAGGCCGTTAACACGTTTAAAATTAATTTGTCCGTTGCTTATAGTTAAAGCCACCGGTAATCCTGCAGAGCCTCTCTTTTTGAAGAACAATTTAAACCCTGTTATGATTCCATTTCTGGAGTCTGCTGGTGGTAACTGCCAATATGCTGTGATACTGGTAGAGTTGCTCGCTGTCACAGAGAAGTTAGTTGGAGCTTTAGAAGGAGCTGTAATTGAACAACGGAAGTGCTATGTAGCTTAATTAAATTCATACCATAATCTATTGTCCATGTAACATTATGGTTATTGATATTTCATCATTAACTAATGTAGGTAATAAGCAGTGTAAATATTCTAAATACAAATTTCAGTTGATCGTGTTAATAACATAAAAAATTGTTGATAACCTCAGCAAGACAAATAATGCACCTATGACTGACTTAAGACGTTCCTACCAGGGAAAATGCCATTTGAAAACCTGTTTAACACATAACAACAAACCTCTTCTGAGAAAAAAAAATGGCAGTCAAATTTAGTCGTTATTAATCCCCTTAATTACCATCTTCCTTTGTTGTTGCAACTTCAGCAGAGCTGTTAGGTCCATCACCAATAGAAGTGAAGGCCAAAACTTGGAATTCATATTCTGTGTATTTTTCTAGTCCAATAACAGCTTTAGTACAAATCGTCTCATTCCCAATGATTAAAGTGTTAGGTAGCCCCGTGTAGCCTCTCTTTTTGTAATACAATTTGAATCCTCTGACAATTCCATTTCTAGAGTCCTTGGGTGGTAACTGCCATGATGCTGTAATACTGGATGAGGAACTTGCGGCCACAGTGAAATTGCTTGGAGATTTTGATGGAACTGCCATCAGAAAATTAATTCATTTCGTCAGAAGTAATTCATCACATTCAAGTAAGCTGGGGAAAGCTAAGAAATACTCTATCGAAGTAGAAAGGGCGTAAGAGGGTTTTTCGCCTGAAAATCTCAATTCTACTGAGTCATTCTAACAAATTGATCCAAAGAAATCTCCGTACGAAGGTGGAGACATAACTATTTTTATTTTCTTACCATCTTCTTTTGTCCTCTTAATCCTAACGTTACTCTTTGGTCCATCACCAACGGAAGTAAAGGCCAACACTTGAAATTCATATTCTGTATACTTTTCAAGCCCAATGACGTCATCACTTTCCGTTGTACCATTCCTCACAGTTATTGAGGCTGGCAATGTTGTTGAGTTTTTCTTTTTGTAAAAAATTTTGAATCCTGTGATAAATCCATTTCTGGAGTCTGCCGGTGGTAACTGCCATGATACGGTTATAGCGGTGGAGCTACGCACAATTAAGGAGAAGTTGCTAGGGGCCTGTGATGGTGCTGCAAATAGATGTGACAGAGAAAACTTTATAATTATTGATAAAAATTGATAGGAGAAAAATAACTGAGCCCATGTGAGTTCAGAAAGGATTAACTAGGCTCTTACCATCCTCCTTTGTTCGTTCGACCCTTATAGAACTCTTTGGTCCGTCGCCAACAGACGTGAAGGCCAACACTTGGAGTTCATATTCTGTGAATTTAGCAAGCCCTGTAACAGGTTTGCTACGAGCCCTTCCATTTTTAATTGTTATTGATGTTTCTAATCTTGGAATGCCTCTCTTTTTGTAGTACAATTTAAAACCAATGATAATTCCATGTCTGGAGTCTACTGGTGGTAATTGCCAGGATGCTGCAATACTGGTAGATGAGATTGTCTTCACTGTAAAGTTACTCGGAGGTTTTGATGGGGCTAAAATCAAGCAACTCGTAGATTATAATAAAATATTAAATTTCTGTTTACAAAAAGACAGCTGGTATACTTGTACAACAGGCACATGTATGTATCTTAAGTTTCTTACCATCTTCGTTCGTTTCGCCAAACTTTATTGAACTCTTTGGTCCATCACCAACAGCTGTGAAAGCCAATAACTGAAACGCGTACTCTGTGTATTTATCTAGCCCTGTCAACTTTTTATAGTGAGTTGTCCCATTTGAAATAGTCAACGAAGTAGATCTTTCAGCAGAACCCTTCTTTTTGAAGAACAATTTGTATCCTGATATTATTCCATTTCTGGAGTCAGCTGGTGGTAACTGCCAAAATACTGTGATACTGGTAGAATTGCTTGAAGTCACAGTAAAGTTAGCAGGAGCTTGCGAGGGAACTAAAATTAAAATACACAACTCAAGTTAAACAACACATAGCTAATTTCCATTACATCTGCATTTCTGAAAGAGCCACTATCAATTAATTGATTGGTGAATGTTTAAAAGATATGAACAAAATTGATTAGCATCGGCCGTTCAAACTAACTTGTTCAAAGCCATACCAGTTTCACAAACCTTTACCAAAATTTCACATTGAACTGATTAAATACCAAACTTCATTATAAGTATTTCTTTTCCTCACCATCTTCTTTTGTTCTCTCAACTACAACAGAACTTCTTGGTCCATCACCAACTGAAGTGAAAGCCAACACCTGAAATTCATACTGTGTGTACTTATCAAGCCCAGTGACATCTTCAGTTTCAATTGTTCCGTTATTAATGGTCAAAATTCTAAGCAACGCTGCAGAGCTTATTTTTCTGTACATCACTTTTAGTCCTCTGATGACACCATTTCTGCCGATTTCTGGCGGGAGCTGCCAAGATGCTGTTACACTGGTAGAATTACTTGCAATCACAGTGAGGTTGCGAGGTGCTGTATATGGAACTGTGATAGATACAAGAACGTCTTAAAATACATTTCGTACATAGACAGCCAGAAACATAGGAATGCTATGATTGATGGATACATACATGTAGATGGTTGAATGGAGGGATGGAACAATAGATGGATACCATACCATGTCAAATGGCAATGTGGAAATCAAAGAAAGGTCAACATTACATTGAGATAACAACGAGCAAGAGATTTAGTCTTAAACATTATAATTTTGATACGATGGTGCTTGATTAGAGTGTCATCAATCGGAATTCTTACCATCTTCATTTGTTCTCTCGATACGAACGGAGCTCTTTGGTCCATCGCCTACAGAATTGAAGGCCAACACTCGAAATTCATATTCTGTGTACTTATCAAGCCCTGCAACAACTTTACTACGATCAGTTCCATTTGTAATCGTTACTAAAGTTTGCAATCCTGCAGAGTCTTTCAGTTTGAAGAACAATTTGAATCCTGTAATGATTCCATGTCTAGACTGTTCTGGTGGTAACTCCCACGATGCTCTCATGCTCGTAGAACTAGCTGGAGTTAGAGTGAAGTTGCCCGGAGCTCTCGACGGAACTAAAATGAAAGATCTCAGAAATGAATATGAATGTGAATATCTTTATGAACAGATTTTTTTGTACTTTACTTTAAAAGAAATAAATTTTTTTGATCACGGTAAAAGTTTGGTAACCTGTGTAGCTGTACCTATAATGAATATGAATTAGCATGAAAATTTATCCAACCCTTATACCACTCATCAAAGAAGAAATCTACGCATACAATATGTATGGGTAAATGTCAAAAAAAGACGCAATTAACAAAATTTCACGAGACTATCCAATCCTTTTATCAAAATCAATGCATTTACCTATTATGTTTTCCCAAATTACAGTTTTGTACAGCTATATCTGTCAGAATTCATGTTGAAAGTGTACACGAGGCTTTTTTACCACCTGAAAGCCAACCTCATTAGAATGGTTTAGTTTAGATCACGTACCATCTTCATTTGTCCTCGCAACCTTGACTAACGACTTTGGTCCATCACCAACAGAAGTGAAAGCCAATAACTCGAACTCATACTCTGTGTATTTATCTAGCCCTGTCAATGTATTCGAACGACTAGTACCATTTTCAACAATTTGCTTAGTCTCTTTCCCCGCAGAGCCTTTCTTCCAGTAAAACAGCTTAAATCCTGTGATAATTCCATTCCTGGAGTCCATCGGTGGTAACAGCCAGGCTGCTGTAATACTAGTAGAAGAAGTTGAAGTCACGGTAAAGTTAGCGGGGGCTTGCGAGGGAACTGAAAATAAAAAATGCTTGGTCAATGGCTAGTAGTAGATAAACTAAACCCATAAAACTCGATTGGTTCAATTTGAACATGTGACAAAAATCAATCATAGATTGATTGCGAAAAAACTCTCATTCAAATACCAATAATAATAATAATAATAATAATACTAATAACAATAATAATGGAATTAATAATTATAATGATAATAATAAAAAGAAACATACAAATACACAAACAAATCATGATATTGAAAAACAGACTAGGTTAAGCTCCAAATAACGAAACAAGGAGACACTATAAGTAACAGTTGTACATCAAGAAAAACTAGAAAATTACGTCAATTTAACAATCCCCTTACCACGCAAAAGCTACTGTTCAATTTAAAATACATTGTAGTGGCATTTTCAATATCTTACCATCTTCCCTCGTTCTCTCAACCAAAACAGCACTTTTCGGTCCATCACCAACAGAAGTGAAGGCCAACACTTGAAATTCATACTTTGTGTACTTATCAAGCCCAGTGATATCTTGACTGTGAATTGTTCCGTTTTTAATGGTCAGAATGGACGGCAACCCTACAGAGCTGTTTTTTCTGTAGAATAATTTAAACCCTCTGATGATTCCATTGCTGGAAATTTCTGGTTGAAGCTGCCAGTATGCTGTTACACTGCTAGAATTTATCACTGTCACAGTAAGGTTGCTTGGGGCTATGAAGGGGACTGTAAATATAACAACAATAAACACTTTAATGTGGTACGATGACAGAAAGGGACTGTGAAAGAGCGATGCTTGAGCTACGGTGAAATAGGATTAGACTATCATAACTATAGTCTTACCATCTTCTTTTGTTCTTTCCTCCACAATAGAGCTGTTCATGCCATCGCCAACGGAAGTGAAGGCCAACACTTGAAATTCATAAACCGTGTACTTATCAAGCCCAATGACAAGTTTATTGCGTGTTGTCCCGTTTTCAACAGATACTAATGTTTGCAATCCCACCGAGTCTTTCTTTTTGTAAAACAATCTAAATCCTCTGACGATCCCATTTCTAGAGTCCGCCGGTGGTAACTGCCAGAATGCTGTAATACTCGTAGAACTAGTTGGAGTCAAACTGAAGTTGCCAGGAGCTTCGGAAGGGACTAAAATTAAATCAGTTATGAATTAGATAAGTATCTTGAAAAGTAGGAAGACGACTGGGTGACCGATTCCGAGAACACCTTCGCGATGTGGAAAGAAATGACAAGGACGCATCCAAACCAGTCGCTAGACACTTTAATCTTCCTTATCATTCTAAACAGCATATGGCAGTTTGCGGCCTTTCCTTACATCTAGGCAGTTCGGAAAGCCGTAAAACACTAGAACAAAAATTTATATTCCAAATCGGCACCCTTAATCCCCACAGAATCAACGAGCGCTTTTCATTCAACTAATTTATTCCTGTTTTCTCGTCACTATATTCCCACCAATGGCGTAGCTCCACTTTCTACATATAAATCCACACACAAACCACAATTCCTCTAATCGCTCTGACGAAGGGCTAACGCTCGAAACGTCAGCTTTTTTACCCTTTACGGTGGCTAATTTACGTTTTCAACCCAGTTGTTAATACTAAATTACCTGCTATACTCTCCCACCGACGCAGCACCACAGTTTCTTTAGAAACTTACCCCTTTATTGAAATTCTGATCTTTAACTATTCTTGAATACCTACCATCCTCGTTTGTTTTCACCAACTTGACCTCACTCTTTGGTCCATCACCAACAGAAGTAAAAGCCAAGATGCTAGCCTCGTACTCTGTGTATTTAGCAAGCCCTATGAACTCTTTAGAAAGACTTGTACCATTTAAAATAGTTAAAACGGCTTGTTTTCCAGGAAAATATTTCATCTTGTAAAACAATTTAAATCCTCTGATTATTCCATTTCTGAAGTTTACTGATGGTAACTGCCAGGATGCTGTAATGCTGGTAGAACTACTTGAAGTAAGAGTTAAGTTAGCCGGGGCTTGTGATGGAACTGCAATTTAACCACAGAGTAATTTACTAAGATGCTTCATAGCCATTAGAAGACTCTAATCTTAACTATATGACAATGCAATGTGAAGTAATTATTATTTTGGTTTTTCAGATACTCGTTCAATCGATGTACTTTCTATCACCCCCACGTGGATCATTTACGGCCAAAAGGGATAAAAATGGCAAGTCATACATGTTCTGCCATTGAGCAGATGTATGTGTACTACACCCTTTTAAAATTACTACTTCCTTAAGTATGCTATGTTATATCAGCCTTCTACCAACATTTAAAAGTGAAAAGACCAAAACCCTGGGCTCTTATAGAACTTTTTCCGTTTTCTCACCATCTTCCTTTGTTCTTTTGACCACAACAGAACTTTTGGGTCCATCACCAACAGATGTGAAAGCCACTACTTGAAATTCATATTCAGAGTACTTATCAAGCCCAGTTACGACTTGACTGTGAATTGTTCCGTTGCTAATATTCAAAATTGCTGGCAACCCTCCAGAGTCCTTCTTTTTGTATAACAATCTAAATCCTCTGATGATTCCATTTCTAGCAATTTCTGGTGGCAGTCTCCAGGATGCTGTTACAGTGGTGGAATTGTTGACAATCACGGTGAGATTGCTTGGTGCTGTGGATGGAACTGCAAGAAAGACATTAACCTTCACCTGATATATATGTACCTCAAGATTACAAATATTAAAGACTGCCTGCCAGACGATCAAACCAACAAGTAACCGAGAAAGTACAGAGACCAAACAACGGATGGATGTGTGGATTAGATATATATGGATAAGTGACAGTCATAGTTGAACTCTTACCATCCTCTTTAGTCCTCTCTACTTCAACAGAACTCTTTGGTCCATCACCAACTGAAGTGAAGGCCAACACTTGAAATTCATATTCCGTGTTCTTATCAAGCCCAGTGACAGGTACAGTGCGAGTTGTTCTATTTCTAATAGATAGCACTGTTTGTAACCTGAGAGATCCTGTCTTTCTGTAGAACAATTTAAATCCTAAGATGATTCCATGTCTGGAGCCTGGTGGTGGTAACTGCCACAATGCTGTAATACTGGTAGAATCTCTCGGGGCTAAAGTAAAGTTAACTGGGGCATAGGAAGGGACTGAAAATTTGAAAACGCAATGTACAAGAACAATTGATTACAAGATTACTCATGTGAGAGTCGCATCACACCATAGGTGACCCTAGCGTATATTACGGAACCAACTAAAGCTTGATCTGTCAATGATAAACTTTGCCCTCCTGCAGTCAGGAGGGCACTCTATCATATTGGATGTTAATGTTGGATAAAGTGAAAAGTTCGAGTCCTCAATTGCCTTTGGTTTACGAAAAAAATCGTAACCTCCACTGAAGCTCTCTTCACTCATGTCTAATGGCGAACTCTTTTGGGTGACCTGTGTCTTAGACCCAACAATATGTCTCGGTTGTCCCGTGGTGCACTAGTGCTAGTCTCTTGAAGATCATAGGAAGCTAAAACTGACTTCAAATCACAAGCCATGGTTATTTTACCCGCTGACTCGACACGTACACGTCTATGATGTTATTCTTAATTTCATTTCTTACCATCTTCATTTGTTCTCTCCACTACAACAGAACTGTTTTCTCCATCCCCAACCAAAGTGAAGGCCAGCACTTGAAATTCATATTCTGTGTACTTTTCAAGCCCACCGATATTTCTGGAGCGGGTTGTTTCATTTGTAATAGTTATTGTAGATGGAAACATTACAAAGCCTCTCTTTTTGTAAAACAATTTAAATCCTGTGATGATTCCATTCCTAGAGTCTGCAGGCGGTAATTGCCAAGAGGCTGTAATACTGGTAGAACTCAATACGATTATGGTGAAGTTTCTTGGAGCCTTTGATGGAACTGAAATTTAAAAATTCAAGACCTGCAATAACTTCTTTACAGGTATCTTTTGAATGATTATTGCATTGCTGAAAGGAGCTTAAATACTCTTAAATACGGGTTGGTAAAGCTACTCCCAAATACTCAACTATTTGAGAAATAAAAGAGGGAGAAAATGAAATACCTAAACCCTCCGATGCACATGAAATTAAATTTATGGAGAGAAGAAACCAAACATCCCTTTTTTTCAAGGAGATACTTTTCCAGCCTCCTCAAGCTTAGTAGAAGAAAATGATATATGACAAGGTCTAATTGTAACAAACAGAACCATTTGATACGGGGTTTCCCTGTACCACATGGGAATGTGATGGTACAAGAAGCAGGTAAATGCCTTCTGGTACTACACCTGGAAATCATGCTTACACTCGTGGTGAGCAGAAGAAGATGCCAAAGCAAATGCGTTTCAAGCTTGAATGATGACCATCATGTATTGATGTGAAGTCTATTTTTTCACTATTTGCTGATGGTTACAAAGATTTTTCGTCAGTTAAAAATATTTACCATCTTCCATTGTTCTCTCCACTATAACCGAACTTTTTGGTCCATCACCAGCAGATGTAAAGGCCAACACTTGAAACTCATATTCTGTGTATTTATCAAGCCCAGTGAAAACTCTCTTCAATGTCGATCTACTGTCAATGGTCAAGCTAGTTGCTGACCCCGCAGAACTTTTTTCCTGGTAAAACAATTTAAATCCTTTAATTATTCCATTTCTGGAGTTTGCTGGTGGTAATTGCCAAGATGCCATGATAGTGGTTGAAGAGTTTGCAGCCACAGTGAAGTTCAGTGGTGTTTTTGAAGGAACTGAAATTGAACACCTCAGAGTAAACAGAAAGTTTAATTATGTTGTATCTGCGCCTACGTCAAGTGACGAATCTTGAAATATTATTAGTTACCTAGTAGCCAGCTGGCACTACATTATGTTGAGTCACTTGCATGTTGCACGATTCCCATTTACGAATTTTATAAGTTTATATCTACATTTATAATGACCTAAAATATAACCATGCCTGGTCGACCTGGACAAGTATATTTCCATTTCGAGTACTACACTTTTCTTGCTTACTTGAATACTGGACAAATTCCCGAGCAGCAAGCTAGCTTTTCGTACGAATTCGTCATACATCCATATCGCTCATCCACAAACAAAAATAATGCCAGAATTGATAAAAAATTTGTTCACTGTAGAAGGGGTGTTGGTAAAGACACCATCATTGGACCAAGAAAGATAATTTTTTCTCTCTCACTAAATGTTGACAAACTGCCACACTTAGAAAGTAAAAGCCCTTAATTGACAACCCACAAAAAACACTTATAAAGGGAGCATACTAAAGCCAAAAAAATTTTTTACCGAAAAAAAATGGGCCTTAAACTATTGCAATTGATTTCATAAAAAATTCCAGGTTTTAGCCCATCCACAGCATTATCTCTGAAACAATCATACTGCTACCAACATAAAACTGATGGAAAACACGAAACACTGACTTAAAAAAAGTGACAATTTTTCATCTAATTACCATCTTCCATTGTTCTCCCTGTCTTTACAGAACTGTTTGGGCCATCACCAACAGAAGTGAAGGCCAAAACTTGAAATTCATATTCTGTGTACTTATCTAATCCAGTGACAGTTTTGTTGCGACTAGCTCCATCGTTTATCCTTAACGTGGTTGCCAACCCTGACAAAGACTTCTCTTTGTAGAACAATTTAAATCCCGTGATGATCCCATTTCTTGAACTCTTTGGTGGTAACTTCCAAGATGCTGTAACACTGATGGAGCTACTTACAACAACAGTGAAGTTACTTGGAGCCTGTGATGGCACTGCAGTTGTGGGAAAAACACTATTATCAATAAATCTAAGTCAAACCTTAAAAGCTTTGACCGATAAAGGTTTTTTTTTTTAACTCTTATCATGCGAGGAATGGACAGGACTACAAGTTTCTCGTTTTCCTTATCATGACATCGCAGATTATGGTAAAATTACGGTAACTATAAATTTACCATCCTTTTTTTTTTTTAAATAAAAAGACTTCTCCTAAAAATAAAACCTAAAATGTTGATTGCCAATCAACATAAAAACTCAGAGAGCACTGAACTCGAAGTACTTAAAGCTGTACCTACGTGCGTTTTGACGTGGCTGTGGCGTTGTTAAGATGTCTTTTTGCCTCGAGTAAAGAACCTCAAAGTGCAAAGCGATCATTGAGGAATTAGTCAGGTGCGATTACCGAAGGAAAAACTAAGGTTTCTATCCACCAAACAAAAGAAAAGGTTTCAAAACAAACGGTTTTTGTCAAATTATTACCATCTTCTAGTGTTCTCCCCACTTCAAATAAACTCTTTGGTCCATCACCAGTTGAAGTAAAGGCCAACACTTGAAATTCATATTCCGTGTATTTCGCAAGTCCTTTTATGGTTCTTCTCTGTTTTGCTCCACTGTAAACGCTACTAATGGACAGAATAGTTGGTGCCCCGATAGAACCCCTAATTTTGTAAAACAATTTATATCCTGTGATGATTCCATGCCTAGAGTCTGCTGGTGGTAACTGCCAGGATGCTATAACACTCGTGGATGAGGTTGCAATAACGCTTAAGTTCAAAGGTGCTTTGGAAGGAGCTAAAATAAACAAAGTCAAAACTCTTTCGTTATGAATGATCAACAGTGTATCGGAATAATTAGGTTTGGGCTTGAAATGAATTCCTTTAAAAAACTTATATTTCAATTAAAACGGCATTGATTGTTGTAATTAGTCAACCGCTGTACGAAAAAAGCATTTTCTTTGCAGAGATGCTAACATGCAACTGCATTTCACAGGTACCAGGATGTTTCATTCCGACTGGAAGTTGCCCTTTATGCGTTATCACAAGCACTTAATCATTATCGTAATCACTGAACTTGGAGGGACCCTCCTTCTACACTCTGTTTATCAAAACTTACCATCCTCATTCGTTCTTTCCACAAGAACAGAGCTCTTAGGTCCATCACCAGCGGAAGTGAAGGCCAACACTTGAAATTCGTATTCAGTGTACTTTTCAAGCCCAAACACATCTTCAACACGGATTGTTTCATTGTTAATAGTTACCATGGCAGCTAAACCTAGAGAACCTTTCTTTTTATAGTACAATTTAAATCCTGTGATAATTCCATATCTGGAGTCGGCTGGTGGTAACTGCCAAGAAGCTCTAATACTGGTTGAAGAGCTTGCTGTCACAGTAAAGCTACGTGGGGGCTTTGAAGGAGCTGAATTTAGGAAAGAAGATTATAAAGAATTCATCGACTTAATACCCTTTTAACAATATGTAATGCAATATATTTAGAAATATAGCATTGTAACTAAAGTTATCATGGACATTATGCATATTTAAATAATTCGTACTGCTTAATCAATCATAAGGTCTTACGTTTTCGGTGGCAAGAAAATTACCTAGTAAGGGATTGAGTCCAAAACATAACTACAAAAAGTATGTTCTCTACCCAGTTTTCGATTTTTAACAAGTACATGTTGTCAACATAGGTAACGTTTGCTATTAAAACCAAGACGACCTACATGTCGAAAAAACAATTTCAAGTATGTTTGGCTTCTTTTAAATGACGGCTGACTACGCCAAAGATCATGATCAAAATGAAGACATTCCTATCTCTGTTTTCCCTCTCTTACCATCTTCCATTGTTCTCTCAACCTTAACAGAACTTTTTGGTCCATCGCCAACAGAAGTAAAGGCCAACACTTGAAATTCATATTCTGTGTACTTATCAAGCCCAGTAACGATTTTACTAAATGTTGCTCCACTGTTAATGGACATGAGGGTTGCTGACCCTGAAGAGCCTCTCTCTTTGTAAAACAGTTTAAATCCTGTGATTAATCCATGTCTGGAGCCTGCTGGTGGTAAATTCCAGGATGCTGTTATACTGGTAGAAGAGCTTGCAGTAACAACGAAGTTGGAAGGTGCTGTCGTAGGAACTGTAATAGGGAGGTCGGAAAAACTACCCTTACTACAATGCAGCATTATGTCATGCAACAACTTCAATGTCTTCCAAATTATAGCCTGGATAATTAAGAAACCGAACATGATATTTGACCACTAAATCTAGTAGAATTTCGTTAATGCACTGTTTGTCTTTACCCATCTCACATAAAGGATCATACTGCACTCAATAATTCCTGAATAAATATATAAAGAAGCACAATGATATACAGTAAGATGTTTTAATTTCATACCATCTCCCACTGTTCTAATAACCTTAACAGAACTTTTAGGTCCATCACCAACAGAAGTGAAAGCCAGTACTTGAAATTCATACTCTGTGTACTTGATAAGCCCACTGACATTTGTTGTATGAGTTGCTCCACTGTTTATAGTTATTATGTCTGCTGGTGCTCCCGAGTTCTTTCTTTTGTGGAACAATTTATATCCAGTGATTATTCCATTTCTAGAGTCTGCTGGTGGGAACTGCCAGGATGCTGTAATAATATTAGGAGAGCTTGCAGTCACGGTGAAGTTAGTTGGGGCACTCGAAGGAGCTGATGTGGAGAAATAAAAGGCAAAATTCACCTCATGCAAACACCTCGACTGAGTGGAAAAATATTTGTCAAAACAACCAATAACAGTCTTATAAAAAGACATTTAAATAAATCTAAAACAGATCTAATCTAGCGGCTGAAGCAAATATTAGTAAGCATGCATTTCAACTATATCCACTGCTGATACTGTTTTCAGCCTCAGACTGGGAAAGTAACCCATTTGTTTGTACAATGCTTACATTACCGTTAGGTGAAAGGTAATCTGATAAAAAAAATGTTTACAATGATTTGCATGATGATAGAGAACCCAAACAAAACTACAACGGCAGTGGTATCAAGAATGGACAGAAATAAAATTGAAAGGCTTAATAAGCGTACTTCTGTGTTTCTTAACATACTCCAGGTAAATTATTTGCAAGCTTGTTTCTCACACCAAAATTACCATTTGAGCACAACTCTTCATTCTCGATGATAGTTCTCCACATTCACATACTCAGCTGATTGAACACTTTACTTTACTGACGGATCGAGACCGACCAATCACGACCGACCTACACTACTTGAGTCTTACAGCCGATAATATCACGGCAAAACTGACCAATCAGTTTATATGAACCGGACTAAGAACACTCCACTGACAACAGCCATTTACTTGAATCTGATGATGACTTCCGCTCGGTTTGTCGAAACGTCAGTCACCACTACAGACAACACTCCTTCTCATGATTGCACTGACCCGGATGATCAAACTATACTATTACATGACCACTGTAAATCTGCTGCCATAGGGCACCAAAATGAATTGTAACCAATCACAACTTTCTGGTTACAAGAAAGGAAAAAATTAATTTTTAGATTGATGTTTCTAAGGGCATAGCAATCGTGAGTAGAATAAAACCTGTAAGAGCAAGTAAAAACTTAACAAAGTGGGATGTTAAAACATTTTGATTTTTTTTCCTCCGTACAAATAGAATAATTTTTGATTATGGGAGAAAGCTTTACACGGTGCGATTTTCCAGTCATGTATGCAGTGGTATTATTATTATTATTATTATCATTATTATTATTACTATTATTTTTTCACTTTAGTTACCATCCTCCATCGTTCTCTCAACCTTAACAGAACTTTTTAGTCCATCACCAGCTGAATTGAAGGCCAACACTTGAAATTCATATTCTGTGTACTTCTCAAGTCCGGCGAGATAAAAATGTATAGAAGGGCTCGCTCCACTGTTGATAGTTAAAGATGTTGCTGAGGTGGCAGAGGTTTTCTTTTTGTAAAACAATTTAAATCCTCTGATTAATCCATGTATGGAGTTTGCTGGTGGTGATGTCCATGTTGCGTCAACACTGGAGGAAGACCATGAGGTCACTGTGAAATTACGTGGAGGCTGGGAAGGAACTAAAATTGGAGGAAAATCACATGATAGTGATTAACCATGTTTCAACGAGAATTTAAAAAATTACATATTAAGTAAACAATCTACAGTATATAATGTCAGTGATTACAATTACATAAATGAAGTTTTGGGCAGGGTACAACAAATGTATAACAAGCAGCATCAAGCTGTTGCCATATACATTTTTAACTACCAAGTTGAATTAATTCAACTTTAAACACAACAGCCTAAACATTCTATTAATATCTATCTGATCACCTATTTAACTTTTCCTGTTACAAAAGTCATAATTTTCAAAATATCGGCAGTTAAATAATTTATTTTAAAACTCTTGAATTACCATCCTCCTTTGTTCTTGTCACCTCAACAGAACTATTTGGTCCATCACCAACAGAAGTGAAGGCCAACACTTGAAATTCATACTCTGTGTACTTGTCCAATCCAGTCACAGTTTTGTTACGAAGTGAACCATCATTCACAGTGAACATGGTTGCCAACCCTGAGAACGATTTCTTCTTGTAGAACAACTTAAATCCTGTGATGATTCCATGTCTGGAGTTAGCTGGTGGTAACTGCCATGATGTTGTAATAATGCTTGAACTAATAGCAGTTACACTGAAGTTACCAGGTGCTTGTGATGGAACTTTTGAAATTTAGAAAAAAGCAATGCGTAACTGAATTAAGGTCCGTACATGCACAGTGCATATTAAAGATTATTTTCCGAGTGTCCGTATGATCACTGAAAGTTTAGACCAATGTTAGCACAGAAGATGCCGCATGGGTTTGCACTACCATGTCAAAACCCTTGCATCCTTGCTTTTGTGCCACACAGGTTCAGAGGACACATCAAAACATAAAAATTCAAAATAAGACCTCTTTTCCATAGCGGCATAAACACATTGCTGATCATTGCATGCATTACAAGTGACTTTGAGGTGGCTGCATGATTGGCAGGACACCCTTGATGCACATGCGGCAACGTAAGCAAAGTATAAGTATCACATCTAAATTTACATCCCTTAAAGAAGTGATATGACATTTCACCCAAGCTGATGTCAGCTACTCTAGGAGGGGTTACGCTTAAGTAAATAAGGGGAAAGCAATGAAGACGATCATTTACGACAAGAATGTAATCTCTTTGATTTGTCACATACCATCTTCCATTGTTCTTTTCACCTCAGAGGAACTCTTTGGTCCATCCCCATGAGAGGTGAAGGCTAACACGTTGAATTCATAAAATGTGTATTTTTCAAGCCCCGTGACAACCCTACTCAGTGTAGCTCCATTTCTAATGGTCAAGTGGGTTGCTGATGCTTGGGAGCCTCTTTCTTTGTAAAACAATTTAAATCCTGTAATGATTCCATGTCTGGCATATTCAGGTGGTAACTGCCACGACGCTGTAATGCTAGTTGAGGACTTTGCAATCACTGCAAAGTTACCAGGGGGTTGTGATGGAACTAAAGCAAAAAGTATGTGCTTCAAACACTTTTTAATGATTACCAACATGACCCTGACAGAGGTGGATGGAAACCATCAGTGGTGGTGAATTAAGATATACACATGTAATGCGGTTTCCAGGGTTGCCCTTCATCACAGCAGCATGGAGTGGGGGTTGTGACTCTTTTAGATACTGTTTACACATACTTTATGTTTCATACACTGAAGCACACACATACACATGTTATGAACGTGACAAGCAACATAGTGTAAATTGTATGCGAGAGAGACTTATTTTGCTTGGGTTAGCGACAAAATCTTTCTTATAGTGCAATAGCATGCATATACATGTATGTCCATTAAATATCTCACCATTGTATACATTGTAAGTTTATAGTGTTAATACACTGTTCATTCATGGACAATTATTCACCAACATGGAAAAAATGAGAAACCACAAGGAAACAACATGTAAATATCCACCACTTTCATTGACACTGAAGTAAATATTTGTTTTAGTATACAGTGCACAAGAAAACATTGAAATGTTGTACTGCATCAATGACTTGTGATGCTCATTTTCTTTTCCTTAAAGTAAATGCTTATGCAAAAGCAAGGAGACTGGAAATTTTTTTTTTTCAATCCTTAGTTCTTGCTTTCTTTTCCTCAATCACTCTTTCTGGAATAACATGAAGGCCTGTGTGTAGCTTAAGTCTGGGTATGAAAATGGGATATATTCTAAAATCACAATAGCAGATAAAGGTACCTTGAGCTACTCGTACTCCATACACTTCCACTCTCAAACCCTTATATCCTGAAAAAGCTGTTGGCTGGAAGCGGATATACTTTGCACTAACAAATTCATTGAGACTCTGTTTTACAATGTCATTTTTTCCAGAATTTCCATTGAAGACCTGTAATTTGCAGTAAAGTACTACATCAACAAAGATATAATGTGCTGCTGTTTACATGTACCTCTCACTTTTTTAAAATTATAAAAGAGCAAACACATGAGGAGTCAAACTTCCCTTCAACAGCCACCCAGAAGAACCGAAATTCCAATTGCTTGTTATAAAAGTGTAAAAGCTAGCCATTATAAAGAAATGGGCATTATAAAGACTTAATGTCTCAGCTTTATGGTTTTGCCATACCTATAAAACCATGAAGGATCTTCAAGCACTCTAAATAGATTGCTTAAGCACATAAACTGTAAGTGTTACTATCTATCTTATAAATAACCTTGTAGTTCATATAAACCAACCTTATAAACACTGTTTTCCTGATAGGTGAGAAAGTTGGTATCTTTAAGTGATGACTGTAACTTGTACTTCGTTGTCCACTCATTGGCCCTTGGATTTCCTTGTGTAGCTACAGCACAGATGACATACTCAAACAGCAGGTCAATTTGAAGGTAATCATTAGCATTATTGTTGCCATTAGGTGCCCATGACCTTGCTCCAGTTAAGCGACCATATTTAGCTGCATATGCTGAATTAAACCTTGACGAGGAGGAGAAGCTGCTGTCTGGAATGGTACCAGTCCTGGCTACACCAATGGCCTGCATAGAGCATCCTGAAAGATAATGATCCATATTCAACCCTCCCTAAATAAATAAGAAAATGTAGAAAAAAAATGATAACTTCAATGATCTTAACTGTTACCCAAATTTTCAAATAAAAACATTCATTTCCTATTCCCTATCTACTCAAATGTGTTTCATGGTTGAATACAGAAACAATTTAAGGTCAATTACAAGTTAGAATACCATACATTTTTATCATTGTGGGAGGTTTCCCTTTTATTTTGAATGATTCTGGATGTAGCTACAGTTGTATGTATTAATTGTGCCTGCTGCTAATTTAACAACCAAGACCCACCAGCATATAATTGACTATTAGATTTCATGTTACAGTGCATCTGTTCAGCAATAGACCACAGATGACATTAAAATATGGTTCATGTAAGAACAAAAAAGTGGCACATGAGGTGTAGCTGAGTGTACGTGTCACTGATTTTCTTCCCACAATTTGACATGTTCTGTGATCTAGTACTGTGCGGACTCACAGTAGCCCAGAATCTATTTCACTCATAAGATAAAGAAAACAAATCTTGTTAATGGTGATGTAATCTATGTGTATATGTCCTCTGATCATAAGATCATAAGATCATGAATAAGAACCAATCAAAATACATTCAACATTTAGCTTATCATATAATAACAAACTTAAATTATCATATATTGCATATACCCTCTAAACTTACTTGGCTTTTGTGTCACCCCAAATACCTCTGTTCTCATACACACTCCACCCTGGTGTGTTTGTGGCAGGAATCGCAGATACCTTGTTAAGACTCCATAGACAGTATGTTTAACCACTGAATTTCTATTAACATTTCCATCTAAAACCTAGAAAAAAAAAACCGATCACATCTTATCATAAATTTACTCTTCTAAGTACATTTGGATAGGGCATGAATAATTATAGACCTCTCATAAATGGCAAACCTACATGCAATTATGATTTCAGTGTGTTGCCACATTCTTAGTTTCCTTATTGAAAGAAAATTCTACTACCTCCAAAATTGCTGGCAAGGCTGACAATTTCTATGCACACAAAATACTTGATGTTAGTATTGGCAATCACCTCACAACTGTTACATAGGACCAGACTTCAAAATCATTATACCAGTCACCTTTTCTATGTCTTACTTAAAAGTCTTCTTATGTCTCACAGTATATGTCCTCTACCTTAACTTGTCCACCTTCCTTGTAGTCTGTCCAAGTTGTCCCATCTGTGGATAATTGTAGTTTGTAGGTCTTCACCCACTGATCTGCTTTAGAATTCCCTTGAGTAGACACAGCACAGATGATATGAAGAGTCTGTAGATCAATCTGCAGATGTGGGTTAGTGTCACTCGTTCCTGCACACCAGGATGATCCTGATGTGTAGTTCAGTCGACCATTCTTGGCTGGTGTGTTGGCACTCTGTTCAGAGGAAGCAGTTATTTTATTGTCTTGAATTTTTGCACCTTCCATTCCAAGATCCAGTTCAACACAATCTCCTATCAATAGTAAATAAAAACGGATTGTCAAACATGACTATAGCCAACATGTCCAGGAATGTACAATAGGGCAGTGTGAGAGACTCAGATTACAGACATTTGCATTTAGGATTTTCATCCTTGCAAACTGTTTCTTATGAACCACTCAGGTATGCTATGCATTTGTACTTCATACCACATATATAGTGGAAGATAATTAAGGCTTTGGATAAAGGTAGATCAACCATCATTAGTGGCCTAGGGTTCCAATGAACATAAATCAACAGAAATTGTAAGGTTACAAAGTGCTCTTTTTCATCACATGAGGCTTTTAAAAATATACCTTTTGGTTGTTTTTAAATATCTTTTGTCACCCTGACAAATAAAAAATGGTCAATGTTGAAGGCTACTGGGGGTGATCATTCTACCAAACAGTAGATTTTTATCCAGTTGCAAATCCTTCATATGCATGGTATTTTTGGTTATCTCTTAGGAGTGTCTGTGCCAATTGTTATTAATAATGCTTTGTAATTTATGAATACTTATAAAGATAGAAACAGATTTATAGACATCTACATAGACACTTATTTCCATTGATAACTCATTACAGTGAAGTTTGTATCCTGTTGTAAAAGCCAGACTGAAAGTACAAAAGACCAAAACATATTTTGTGAATTCCCACCTTCTTTTAAAGTTCTCTCCACCAGGGAAGAACTCTTTGGTCCATCTCCAGCTGAAGTGTAGGCCAACATCTGAAATTCATATTCTGTGTACTTCACAAGCCCTGTAACATCTTTAGTATTAGCTGACCCACTATTGATAGTTGTTACAGTTGCTGCACCTAGAGAACTTTTCCTTTTGAAAAACAATTTAAATCCTGTTATGATTCCATTTCTGGAGCCTACTGGTGGTAACTGCCAGGAAGCTCTCATGATTGTAGAAGTAATTGCAGTCACAATGAAATTGCTGGGAGGTTGTGATGGAGCTGCAATAAATGAAGTGAAAGAATGAAGTATATTTATAGTGTAACTGCTGCACTATCCTTATATTACAACTGAAAAATTATTCAGCAAGTGCTTGTACATCTAGTGAAAACTAGGACCAATTAATGCCAGAGTAGAAGACTACAGTATCCTGCAACACCCAGTCAAGAGCCCTAAATGCCTGCACTTAGTTTGGTACCTGTAGTGGCACACTATAGACACAGGGTCAGATTGACAAAATTCTAAAGCATGAAAATCCAAACTGGCTTTCTAACAAATATATGTTACTTTATATAATTGCAACTTTTAAGGTATCAAACAAAGCCATAGCGAGGGCCAGATTTAAGATGCAATATGATTAAACCATATTAATAAACAGAGAAAAGTACTCCCTGCAGAGAAAGATTTTAAATTCCACTGTCACAAGGAAAAGACAGAGAAACTCTAACAGGAATAGAGCATGTGGCCTCTCACACATGTATAGCACGTTAAATGCTCTTACAATTTGCCATTTCTTTCACCTTGAATTAATTAATCACATACCATCTTCCATTGTTCTCTGCACCTTGAGAGAACTCTTTGGTCCATCCCCTGCTGAAGTGAAGGCCAACACTTGAAATTCATACTCTGTGTACTCATCAAGTCCAGTGACAATGCTACTCAGTGTTGCTCCACTGTTGATTGTCAAAGTGGTTACTGACCCTGCAGAACCTTTCTTTCTGAAGAACAGCTTAAACCCTCTTATCTTTCCTTGTCTAGCAATTCCTGATGGTAACTGCCACGATGCTGTAATGCTTGTAGAAGAGCTTGCAGTCAAAGTGAAACTACTTGGGGCTTGTGATGGAACTGAGACAAAAGATATTGAGATGCATGCTCTTGACAATTTGTTGATAATCAACTTGGATTGGATAACGGTCTTTAATAATTTAGTAAATTTCTCAATCTGTGATTAGAGAAGATGCAAGTTTCTCTCTTTTACTCCTACATGATATTGTTTAACTCCATTTATTCTCAGCAGGAAAAATTAAACATTTGATTAAAAAATTATCATTTAGAAGTATTTACCTCTGATCACACGAATTCCATATACTTCTACTCGTAAACCCTTATATCCTGAATAGGTTGTTGGCTGGAAGCGGATATATCTTGCATTGGCATATTTATTGAGACTTCGCTTTACAATGTCATTTCTTCCTTTATTTCCATCAAAGACCTATGATTTGCCACAAAGAGCAACATGATTAAGAAAAAATGCAATATTTAACTATAACCTCTCAATCTTTTAGATTTAATTCCAAGAAAGTGAATACACAAACATACTCTCATCCATTTACCCTTGAGAAAGACTAAAATATTTATGATAGAACTGAAAAACATGGATTTGTGTTTTGTCGGGAAGAAGGCCAATTGACTATGTGAAGGGGTGGCCACCATAAAGAGGTCATTATGAGTGGTAGTTGGACAACTGTGACTTACACAACTTTAGCCATTTTTCCATTATACAGAAGGATCTAAATTAAATGCTGGCTCTCCAATACATATGTAATTAAAATAACTGAATGATGAATTTTTTGTTATTTTTATTAACCCTATATGCCCTGAGGGTGACTTGTTTCTAATTTCTTCTTACATTATCACCCTTGAATCAACAAATATATGTGTATAGGTCATGAGAATAAGGAAATGATCACCCATTTAAGATGCTTCTGATTGTCATACAAACTCTTGAAATGAAAGTGTCAATTCTTTCTAGTGGAATACAAGTGTTGAAAATCAGTTGCTTTTAAGTTTTCAACTTTGGTCAATGTGTATTAGGTAAGAGTTGCTGATTTTGCCTTTTACAAAAAAACTGACCATCAGATCACAAACATGGATAGGGCATTTGAACACAGTTCCCCCCCTCCCCCTTGGAGAGCCCAGTGGATTGCCTGGGGAAGAAGTTAAACCTTCAAATTGATCCAGCACTTAATGACCTGAGAAAAACCTACATTTATAGCTGGATCTAAACCCACCTTGTCAGCACTGTTTTCCTGATAGGTGACAAAATTTGCATTATCAAGGGATAATCTTAACTTGTATTTCGTTGTCCACTCA